AATGCTATTCCGTAGTACCACATCAAACACAAATTGTCGTTTGTATCCTCAAGACTGTAAGCAAACTATATGAGAAAAAAATAGTCCTTAATAATAAAGGATAAAAAATTAGCGCACTTTTTAAAAATTACTAAGAATGTTTCCAAACTTTTTCCCGCTACTGTATACGAGGTTTGTTTCAAAAACATGGTTCCCAACGCTGTTCTAGAAACACCGTCGTGTTTGTCGGCTCCCCCAACACAGATCCCAACAAGAAGCGCCTATTGGCGAATCTCAGTAACGACCCGACAGCCTTGCGCAGGTGCGAGATTCGTGCGGCCATCCGACTTTTGTAAGCAAAAACGTTACCACCCATTGAAATTCATCGCCACATATGTAAGAAGCAACTTGACTTTAAATCGTCAAACACCACAATTGTCTGCAAACACTCGCATTTTTAATAAATAATACTAAAAATAATGACAGTACGGTCATAAAATCGACTTATGTCAAGTGCTCTTTGACCTATGAGAAATTAGGAGACAAGCATGGTATGTTACCAATAATTTTATACCCCTCGTATTTGACCCTTTCCCAGGCCAGTTCACTTGCTCAATATCGTTGAAACGTGAGGAAATAAATAAAAGTTTTTATATATAGACGGACACACTATACGTAGGAAAAAGCTTCCGTAAATTTATTATATGAAAGAAAATGTACCCACTAAGCATTTTAAGTGGCGTACTCAAGAAGCACTTTCTACTGCCGCCTCTAATTTTGTCCAATATGTTCTGTGACGTACATTACAACCTTTAGTTTTGAAACTGCAAATGTTGAAGAACGGGGGTGCAACTGCTGGTAGAATTAATAATAGTAATAATAAATGTCTTTATTAGCAACACAACAATAGGGCCAACAGTGGATTTCTAACCAGCTTCCTGAATGTTACTGCACTTTTGCTTCCCCAGGCAGGGTCGGATGGGTTGTATAACCTCCCAGTGAAACATTTTTGAAACAATGCGGTGTAGTGCAAAGGCATTGTCAGACTATTATTATACCTCAGATCTCTAAAACTAATGATTCCTCTAGTTACCAATTTACTATGGATGTAGACGGGCTTTTTAGTACACAATATCTTATGCACAAATACCTTAAGGCTATATTCAAATTGTTGATCCATTTTCAGCCATTTCAACTCCTTGATCTTGGAGGAGACATGACTATTTTTTCGAATACCATACAGCAGTTGTTTTGCATTCTTTGGATCCTACACCGATTCATCGACTCAAGACAAGGATAGTATAAGGTTAAAGTGTAGTTGAGACTCGGCATTATCAAACTTTCAACTAGCTTCTTACGCGTTTTAAAGTTCAAAATGAATCTATTAGCATATAGCAGTCTTAATTTGATGTAGGTGGACTTCGATAGATGACACACATGTTTGTCAAATCTTAAACTAGAGTCGAAGATGACACCAAGATTTTTCGCTTGTTCCACAATAGGAATGAGCTCCTTGTTGATGCTCAAAGCAATTCTATCCCTTACTCTATTATGCAAATGTTTGGGATAAAAATGTATGCAAGTACTCTTATCCGGATTAATCTTCAGCATGTGTCTTTTACAAAAATCAGTGATGTCGGCAAGATCACAATTTATCTTATATGACACTTCATCCAGATGAGACAAGTCAAAATGAAAAGAAAGCTGCGTATCATCCGCGTAAGTTTGTATAGCACAATGCTCAATACATGAATGTAAATCAAAAGTATACAGGGTGTTTCATTTTATTGTTGCATAACTTTAAGATTCGATAGAACTTTTAAAATGAATGCATAAAGTCTATATAAACATGGGTCGAAAAATGCGTGGCTTCCGAAATACTTTTTAAAATAGTTTTTTTTTAAATATTTCGAACAATATTTGATGCATAACAGTGAAAATTAGTATACAAGGGTTTTTTGGTACGACAAAACGAACCATGGGCATAGTTTTACTGTAGCCGCTAGAGGGCGCTCTCTACTGTACCTGTAATGTATTAAAATTACCGACATTTTTTTCTTAGTACAATTTTTTGCTTTTTGAATAAAACAACTGATTCTTCGCACTTTTCTGCATAAAAAAGCTCTCCTGTGAGTTTTCGTTATATTTAGCCGTTTTTGAGATATTTCGATTTTTAAGGTTCGATGCATTTTTAATTATTTATGGGAAAATAATATTTTTTTTACATTTTCGATTTGGGCATTACAAGTAATTAAGATGATCGTTTAGATTGTGTTTTTAAACACAGCAATAATTCCTAACTCCAAATAAACACAAAAAAACAGAATATTAATTTGTTTAATTTTCCAATATTATTTTTAGCAAATTAAATTAATTATTTACAACTAAAATGCTATTGGATAGTTAGGACAAACATACAAAATCTAAAGTAGTTGCTGGAAATGGAAACCCAATTGTTCAATACACAATTCACATCAACGAATGATCGAACGTGGTATAGCATTATTCAAATAAGGCCTTATTTCATCACATGCATTCCTGATTCTGTCTATTAGCATATCTCTTGTGGTTACTGGAGTCTGGTAAACTTTTTCTTTTAGAAATCGCCACACAAAGAAATCTAATGGATTTAGGTCAGGGGATCGTGGAGGCCAGGCGACTGGTCCTCCACGGCCGATCCATCCTTCTGGATAATTTTCGTCCAGCCAGTTTCTAACTATTCTCGAATAATGAGCTGGACAACCATCAAGCTGGAACCAGGCCAATCTTCTTAAATCTAACATAACATCATCCCACATATTTGCATGTTCAGCCTTTAAAAATTCCAAGAAGGTCGCAGCATTTAACCTTGCAGGCAAAAGGTAGGGTCCAAATAGTCGATTACGGTAGATACCAATCCACACGTTCACACTAAAGTCATGCTGAAAATGTCTTTCCCGAACTGCATGCGGATTTTCATGCGACCAAATATGTTGATTATGAAAATTTACCACTCCACGTCTAGTTAAGCATGACTCATCGGTCCATAAAACGTTACTTAAAAACTCCCTATTGTTATCAGTTCTATCAAGAATCCACTGACAAAATGTGATTCTTCGTTCTCCGTCCCCTGGCTGTAGTCCTTGCACAGGTTGCAAATGGTAAGGACGTCTATGGTCATTTCTAAGAACACGGTGAACATGGCTTGCTGAAATTCCCAAGGCACCAGAAACTGTCGTAACACTTGTGGTCGGATCTCTATCAAACTCACGCAGAATCATACGGGTAAATCTGCGCTGACGAGCATTTATGTTTTGATCCATTTGGCGATTTCCAAAACCATTTTCAATTATTTGGCGATGCACTCTTACAAATACTGAGCGAGTTGCATGTCGTCTGTTTGGAAATCTTCGTGCGTATTCTCTGGCTGCTTCTGCTGCGTTTCCATTTACAAACCCATACACAAAATGAATATCCACTAACTCTTGATTGGAGAATAAAAATGGCATTTTTATAAAACTTACAGAAAAAAAACAGGTAAAAGAAACTAAATTTCGTGCATTCACAATTGCAAAAAAACGTTTCAGGTTTCAATAGACAACAAAACTAACTGTCAACTAATTGACGTTTAACCTTATTCTGCTTTCAATTTCAAAAATATTTGCAGGCACAGCTTACTTCTAAAAATTATCGAGATACTGACTTTTTAACGTTATTTTATCATAAATAATTAAAAATGCATTGAACCATAAAAATCGAAATATCTCAAAAACGGCTAACTATGACGAAAATTCACAAGAGAGCTTTTTTATGTTGAAAAGTGCGAAGAATCAGTTTTTTTATTCAAAAAGCAAAAAGTTGCACTAAGAAAATTTTTTCGATCATTTTAATACACTACAGGTACAGTAGAGAGCGCCCTCTAGCGGCTACAGTAAAACTATGCTCATGGTTCGTTTTGTCGTACCAAAAAACCCTTGTATACCAATTTTCACTATTATACAATCAAATATTGTTCGAAATATTTAAAAAAAACTATTTTAGAAAGTAAATTTAAACACCCTGTATTTCGGAAGCCACGCATTTTTCGACCCATGTTTATATAGACTTTATGCATTAATTTTAAAAGTTCTATCGAATCTTAAAGTTATGCAACAATAAACTGAAACACCCTGTATATCAAATACAGTGAAGGACCTAAGACAGAGCCCTTAGGGACTCCTGAAGAAACGGCAACAGAAGATGAGACTCCTCTAACTGTCTTCACCTTTTTTTTAAGTAATTTTGAATGTCAGGAAGTCCAATATACTTTAACTTACTCAACAAAATTTTATGGTTAACAGTGTCGAACGCCTTAGAGGAGTCGACCATAACTAAAACTGTATTAATATGTTTATCCGTATAATTTAACCTATTGTCTGTCAAATGGAGAAGTGAAGAAGTTGTACTGTGTCCAGCACGAAATCCAGACTGATGGACAGGAAGTAAATTGTTCATCTCTAAATATTCAATTAGTCGGAGTTAAACAGCTTTTTCTGATATCTTTGAAAAGAAACACAGTATGCTGACGGGTCGTAAATGATCAAGAGTTATAGGATTTTTTACTTTGGCCAGAGGAAGAATTATTGCTTCTTTCCAGTCATTAGGAAAGCTTCCATTTTCCTAACAGCCTATTGCAGTCGACTTTATAGAGACAGAAATATCTAAGATCTCCTGAACACTTACAGGTCTGAACCCAGATAATGTTAAATTATCATCAAATAACTTCTGTTAATAAAATTTATCTGTTGCATCAATTAAACGGGAATGGATATGGGTATTTTGATAATTTAAGAGAATAATATATCTCAATCATCTTTAAACATATCGAAAAGTTGTAAATGATATATCATGGTTAGAAAAAAAGATTAGTGTAGTTAGATAAACTATATTTATTTGATAGTGATGACAACAGGCAAACAACAGTAAATATATAGTTTATAACTTATAAGACAAAAGAAACCTTAATCTCTCACTAAGTTTGTTGGTATCTCAACAAAAAACATACGTACTTCTTCCATAATATGCAATCCAAACTTATAAAATTAGGGAAACGTTATAACATCACTAAAGGTCGGATTTTTAATTTAGTTTTCAATTGTGGTCAACCTTCAGCCTCTCTAGTTATTTTCTGTGACGTTGTGTCTTTTTCTTCTACAGTCCTTAATGATCCTATTATCTGATCTGCAACTTCATACAGTTCTTCAACTGTCTGAAATAAAAAAATCTACACTATACCAGTATCTTCACTCTATTAAAATTATTGCATTTAAAGGATACTCATGTAGCTGAAACGTCAGTAAATTTAATTATCTCAAAATATAAAGTTTCATTTAGCGGCCAGATAACATCGACAGTAGCAGTAAATTTTACGTTAAAAAGATACCCAACCACTTTTTATGTCTAGCTATAACTGTCTATAAAAAATAATAAGGAAATAACAAAAAATTTATTTAAAAAGGACTGCCATTGATTTAACTGCATATCAAACAAATAACGTTTAAATTTGAATTTGAAGTTGTTCATGCTTAGAAGCTTGAATCCCTGTGGAGGCTGATTGTATGTCCTGATCGCGTTATATACAGGGTGTCCGCAAAGTTGGGGTTTTCCTTTTCAGAAACAACTACCCTTGAAATAACAAAGGTAATGTGTAGTGAAACGAGGGCGACCAAGTAAAAAAAAAATAAAGGAAAAAGTACTCACTCTCCAGTTGACGAGAAGGGCTAAGTACGTCTCTGCCCGAAATCATACCGCTCCAACAGAAAATGAAATCAGCTGAAGCGCTACCGAGCAGACGCCGGCGGTGGTGCAGACCACGAACAGAGGTAACAAATAAGACGGCGTTGCCGCGTTTTCCGTTTTTAGGTAAACGTACTTTATAGGTATTGTTCGAAGTTATCGCCGTTTGATTCAAGAACACAGGTGCGTGCACGACGTAGCCAAGCATCGGTGCAGGCTTTGAGAATGGAGTCCCTCTCCCGAATGAAAGCACCAGCTTGTTCAATTCTGAGACGAAGTTCGTCAACCGTATGCACTTCAGTTTTGTACACTAAGCGTTTCATTTCTCCCTAAAGAAAAAAATCGCATGGTGTTAAGTCTGGAGATCGCGGAGGCCACGCTACGGGTCCATTACGTCCGATCCACCTATTCGGAAATAATTAATTCAAAAACTCACGCACTTCGCGTCAAAAATGGGGCGGTGCACCATCGTGCAGAAACCACATTGATTGTCTTATACTTAATGGCACATCTTCTAACAAGGAATGCAAAATTTTGCGTAAAAAGTCTAGGTATTGCATCCCGTCCAATCGATTTGGGAGAATAAATGGTCCAATGAGCATACCGTTCACCATGCCAGCCCAAACATTCACCGAAAATGTTTGTTGAAAATGTGCCCGACGGACAGCGTGCGGATTTTCTACTGACCAAAAATGAGTGTTGCGAAAGTTATTCACCCCATTACGCGTGAACGTAGATTCGTCTGTCACCAATATGCACTTCAAAAAGTCCGGATTATTGTCATGTTGCTGCAACAACCACTCACAAAACCGCACTCTTGCTGTAAAATCGTCAGCTTGAAGGGCTTGTACACGTTGGACGTGAAACGGATACAGCCCCTCTTCACGCAGCGTTTGCCACACTTTAGTTTTTGATACTTGCACTTCTATAGCCACGTCTCTAGTGCTTGTTGAGGGATTCTCGTCTATGCGATTCAGTAGTTCTTCCTCAACTTGCACCATTCGTGGTTGTCTAGGCCTCCCACTGTGCCCACCTCGAAATTCCTCCAAATGGCCCGTATCCCTGACTCTCTGGACCAGGTACACAAATCTGCGGGGCCTTGAATGATGTCGTCTAGGGAAACGATCTGCATACACTCGCGAAGCCTCTGTCGCATTTCGAAGACATTCGCCATAAATTAACTACATATCAACGAGTACATTATTGGTGTATGAGTGTGTCATTATTATTTTTTTTTAAACGCAATCGATTATACGGGTTCGTTTACCTCTACACGCGTGACCGTAACCGTCGGTTGAAGGTTGCATGCTGACCTGACACACTGGTTCCCTTAAGACATTGGTGTATATGGTACTAAGAAAAATTGCTTATGTTTTCAAGATCTACACGTCGTGTAAAGGAAAACCCCAACTTTGCGGACACCCAGTATAATTTGGATTCCACATTTAGATGATGAGCATCTTTGTGAGGTATGAAATGTTTACTCAGACCTGCAGGATTTGAAATATTGCCCAGTCTATGCGTAAAGTTAGGTGTGAGAGTCTCCTATTTTTCATGTTAAGCCATTCGCATTTTGTGTGATTAATGAGTGTGAATCATACTTCCTGATTGTGTATACCAGCGTACAGCATCTACTTTGAACCCGTTGTATTTTTATTATATCAGCACTAGTCAAACGTGGCCCATAAATCAAGCTACAATAGTTGAAATGGCTAAACACCAAGGTCTCACACGATGTTTTTTACTTAGAAAGTGTCGGCTGTAATGAATGATTTTTAGAGAACTGACTGCTTTATTCATTCGAGTTTGAGTATGGATAGAGAAAAGTAAACCAAAGTTACGAGCAGAATCATACAAACTGAGCACTTCTTTTCATATTTTCATTGAAAACTTTTGTCTTCTTAGAGTTGAGCTTTAAGTTGTGCTGCTCGAATAATATATTAATCGATTGAAACTCGTCATTGAGACTTCTCCCTGATGCAACTTTGTCTTTCGTAAAACATTTTAAATAAACTTGATTGTCGTCAGCGTACGCTTGCACTTACACATTTTATATTTTACTTAAAATATCTGCCCCGTATGGTATAGTATGTAAAAGAAGGGCCCAAGTATTGACCCTTGTGGCACCCCTGGCAGAATATCTATGCTTTCTGAGAGCAAATAGCTTCATATCAGAAATAGTGAGGAATCAGTATTAGTACTTGAGCTTTGAACACAACAATTCGTGATTGATGGTGGCAAAAGTCTTCAAGGAAACCAAAAGCACAAGAGCGCATAGTATGTTAGTAACTGGCTGCCATATAAGTCGGCCGTTATGTCGAGCAGTTATAGACCGGTAACTGTAGGGTCTTCCGGGCAGCAGTAGTATACTCTTCGGTCTCCTGATCAGTCGCCGTGCGCTGTGCGGGCTCGAATCCCGTCCCAGGAGAAATTTTTCTCTTGCCTATGGATGTTGTGATTGTCCGTAGGTGGTAGACGGTCTCTGACTGTCGAACGCGGACGTACCACCCGGCGGATCTCCGAGGCGGGACCAGAATGTGTGAATGTACACGTGTTCCCTCGCCAGAGTCAGTGTGGCGTTCCCCCTTTCCTCTGTACCCCCCTATAGCCCCACGGTACCCCATGGGTGTTTAGGCCTTAGGCCTTCGTGGTGGTCGGAGTATATAAGTAGCTATATCTGTACCCAAAAAATATACGTAACAAGCCATTCGGTCCAGATAGTGTGATGAATGTCATCAATTTTTTCTGAAGGTGCAATATGATGAAAATTCCAATAACTGCTATGAATTATGGGAAAGATTGGAAAAATGTATGCCACCCATACTAAACGTATTTCGCGAGAGATTGAAACAGCAATTACGTATTTTTCTATTATTGCCGGGCGCTAGATGACACTACAAAATATGACCCATTTTTATCGAATATTGGCTATCAATCCTCAGTTATCCGTTATCGAAATAAGAAAGCTCCCTGAGTAGTGTAAAACTGGCTCAGCTAATTGTAAGCACATTGGTTAAAATATAATAGAAATATGGGTGTCAGATCACAAATTAAAAAAAAGGCAGTGTCTTAAATTAATAGCCTCTATTCTCAAACATATTATGCAATCCGAAATTTAAAAACAGTTCTTGCGGCGACTCAGTTAGTTGCTATTTACTATGCTCAAATAGAGTCAAGATTGAGATAAGCTTTGTGTTCTGGGGTATGACAGCTAATGCTCAGCAGGTATTTTTGAGTAAAAAAAGAACAATTGGATGTTCGGTTGGAGTTAACAGTTTACATTCGTGTAAACTCGGAGTGAAATAGATGCCGTGCAATAGTGCACGATTCTCCATTTTTGTAATAAGCTTTAGCACAGAACGCACGCTGCTCACAGGTGAACGCTCCATGGCGACTAAATTTCCGAGCACCAAGCTGTGTGTGTCACGAGCAATGCGGTTTTCAAATTCGTACGTATTTCTGGCCCACCCTGTGTGTAAATGTTACTGTGCCATCTCAAAGTTTATTTGTGAAAAATTGTTATTTTGTCTTATACGTTTTTGCTTATTGTTAGATATACAGTAATGGACAAGAGTATATAGACAAATTAATATTGTGCTGTATTTCTTTTTTAACTTGATTTATTAATACACCAACCTGTATACATAATTCGTTATAGCGTAATACTCACTTATACATAAATAAGTTCATTAGACTCCCTTCAATAAAAAATTAATTGAAGAAAACTGGAACTATGAAGGACAAAAATATATAGACAAAGCAAAACAATTATAGAAAAAAGAAGCAAAGTTCATGGAATTATGGAAAACCAACCATGTTTGTGTTAATGTTTTGTAGCTTAACCATCATTATCAATCACCGCCTGGCATCGTCTCGCCATAGGTTGTAGAAGTTTCTTGATATAAGATTCAACAATGTCTCTCCACTTTTGCTCTAAAGCGGCAAAAAGTTCATCTTTGTTTGAATAATTTTTATCTCGTATTTGCTTATCTAAGTATTCCCATAGATTTTCAATGGGGTTTATATCGGGAGACTGTGAAGGCCATTTGAGAACTGGTATTTTTTCATCCAGAAAGAATTTCTTTGCGAGATTTGAAGTGTGCTTCGGGTCATTAACTTGCTGGAAGATTGATCTTAAGGGCATACTGTCTTCCATATAGGGTAACATGACATGCTTTAGTATGTCTGTGTATACAAACTTATCCATAATGTCATCTATTCTATGTAAAGGTCCCATCCCAAACCCCGAAAAGACCCCCAAACCATAACAGACAGACCCGCCTCCACGTTTGATAGTGGGCAAATTGTATTTGGGGTTCAATCGTTGTCCGCTAGGATGTCTAACGTAATGAACACCATCTGATCCAAACATATTGATCTTGGATTCGTCACTGAAATATACCCTCTTCCGGTCACAGATGCTCCAATCAAGATGCAACCGTGCAAATTGTAATCGGTCCTTACGGTTTTTCCTCGAGATTAGCGGCTTCTTACTCCGGCACATCATTTAATCTTCTACTTATAGTTTTCGTATAAACACTGACAATTCCTTTTGTCTCGATTTCGGCTTTTATTTGTCTTGGGGTTTTAAGCGGATCTTTGGACCAAATTGCTTTTATTAATTTAACTAACAATTAGTTTTCTAGTCCGACCACTTCTCTTAGATTCTTCCAAGATACCTTCTTGTTTATACGAGTATTTGTTCAATATTGCCTAAACCGCTTTACGCTTCAGCTTCAAATTTTTGGCAATGTCGACTTGACGATGACCATCTTTGTATAACTCAATGATCTTAGTTTTCACATCGAAAAACATTTCTGGACCACACGAAATGGTCTTAAAATCACTCAACTTATTCCACAATACTTGAAGAACACAACAAACACTCCTCTGACACGAAACTGTACTAAACTAATGTTGAAAAGACTTTGTCTACATAAAAAAGAGCTTATATTCAGACTTGTATTGTGTTCATTGCAGATTATGTAAAAACAAGGAATTTAGTTTTTCTACTGATAACGCATTTGTTTATGGAATAATGAAGTATGAATTCGTTTTCTAAAGGGAAATATTCATACTTGTCTATATACTTTTGTCCATTACTGTAAGTTGTCGAATCCCATACATTAATCTCAATGTCTAGAGGATAATTAATGAACTGAGTTTGAAGAAAATTGTCCTGAGTATTATATACAGGGTGTTTCAAATTCGACCCTCACCATTAGGCTTCCGGAAACGATAAGAGATACAAATTCGCTTAAATGGAGGCAAAGCTGTGTGTTTAGGTAACTAACAAAATGCTGCTCAAAAAAATTTAAAGTACCTTCGAAGAGAGACGAAAAAAAACGCAATTTTACCAAATTTGTTTCAATTTTTTCCTGATTTTATTTGTAGCGGGATTTGAAAATACATTGCACATTACCGTTACCACTTTTTATCCTCTACAAGATGGGACAATCATAATTTCAATAAGACGTTTCTTCTCTTGTTCTCCAGCATCAACTTTGTTTTTTCGCAAAGACGCCATATTTGATTTTTGCACAAGTGAATAAATTTTTTAATTCTGAATCCAAAAGTGTAATAAGAGACATATAAATTCGAACACCCTGTTTAAATGGTTTTATTTTAATAAAATTTTCTATAAGTACTTAATGAAGCATAATAAGTAAATGATAAAAATTTCAAAATGATTACACCGCTTTAAAACCCTTTGACCTTTAATAATGTGTGGATGCACCCTGATGTGCTACGCATTCTCCAACGCGCCTAGGCATGCTTCTGATCAGGTGGTCAATGTCCTCCTGTGGTATCTCATTCCAGGCAACCACTAACTCCTCTCGAAGTGCTTCTAGAGTCCGAGGAGGACGTTGCAAATTGAGCAATCTCCTACCCATCATATCCCACACGTGCTCAATTGGGGATAAGTCGGGAGATCTTGGTGGCCATGTCAACAATGTGACATCATTATGTTGAAAGAAGTCTATTGTGACTCTTGCAACATGTGGTCGGGCATTATCTTGTTGGAAAGTTGGATCTGCTAGGGTGTCAAGATAGGGTAAAAGATGGGGTTCTAGAACTTCGTGGATATAACGCTGCGCGTTCATGTTACCTCTGATGAAGATTAACGGTGACCTGGAACCATAAGCTATAGCACCCCAAACCATAACTCCAACAGTGTGATGAACATGTCTGTCAACAAAAAACTGTGGATTCCTCCTTTCACCACGTCGCCTTCTAACTCTGGCACGACCATCGTGCATGCCTAAGCAAAATCGAGACTCGTCACTAAAGACAATACTGTTCCATTCCTAATCCCAGAGTGACCGTTGTCTGCACCACTCAAGGCAATTACGTCGGTGTTCTCGAGTTAAAGGGAGGACCCAGTGTGGCCGGTATGAACTTCTCATTCGTCGGTAAACACTTCGCATGCCAATAGGTCTTCCGTGTTCTGCAAATAATTCATTTGCAATGGACCTGGTAGTGGAGAAACGGTCCCTTAAGGCGAATAATCTTCACGGTCTGTTGTTCTACGGCGGCGTCCAGTGCCCCTTGCTCTTTGCGTACAGCCTTCTCGAAGCCATGCCTGACAACACCTAATCACAGTGTCTACACTTCTTTGCACTCTAACTGCAATTGCCCGAAAAGAAAGTCCAGCTTCCCGAAGTCCCACTATACGGCCCCTATCAAACTCACTAAGTTGACGAAATCGTACAGGTCTCCGTACTCTAGACATCGTAACCGATCGTAAAGGATGTCAAGAACCAAAATGCGCCAACGTTGATTCTTTACTGCGGCCGAAATATTCATTTTTAGAGCGTTAGTGAATTAAAAAAAAGCAGTATAAAAACCGGAATGTCCAACTGATGTGGCTGAAAATTTTTTCACTTGTTATTTATAGTGAGATAAATACATTCACCAACTTTTATTAAAATAAAACCATTTAAACTGGGTGTTATGTCACTTAGTATACTTCATACATTGACATTGCCAAACCTCAGTATTCTGAAAAATAGAATGTAATGAGACTTAGAAACAAATCAACAGTACTGGGCGAATAATGACATATTTCTCTACCAAGGTATGTAATGTACTATTACTTGAAGTGTTACATATATCTCTTACGGCCTTCTTAATATCGTTTATGACCTTCTTATATTCTTACCTCGCAATTTCTGAGCTGCTTGAGCAAAGGGTCTTCGTAATGGATCACCTCTAACTGCTCAGGATCCATGATGAATTCGTTCTGTTCGGATTCCTCAGATTCCATCGATCCTAAAAACTTTTCGTAAGACAAGCACAGTTTGACATGCGCCGGCGACAGTTCGTGTTCTTTTTCCATGGTTAAGTCCGATCCTGGATCAGGGGCTTCATCTGGCTGCGGGTAGGTCGGTCGGTGTGACTTGTGTAGCTTGATCTGGAATGCAATCAAAAGAATGTTCAAATTTATAAAGGATGTCTCAACAAGAGCACTGGATTTATATTTGCCGCCATTATTTTTGTACAAATTTTATTGGTATGGTGTTTACTTGGTGACAGCTGTCATGTCCACGCCACGCGATTAGACGTCATGGAGCAATATTCAAACGAGTAACGTTTAATTATTGTGAAAATTCACCACAAAAATGGAAAAAATTACCCGGAAACAGTTCGCAAATTATCACTGATCGACGGCCAAAAAATATCCTAAATAAAATCAACAAAATATTACTATTTTTAATGTGCTAAAACCGGAATGAAATTTATTTTTTCAATATTAGTTCAAGTTTTAGAGATACGGTAATTATATGTGTTCCTGCTGTGACAGTGTTAATATACTGTAATTCACAACAATGCACGTGCTACATTTTTATACTCGGCAAGGAAAGATGATGTAATCGGCATGATTGTGTTACGTTATACATACGTGTACATTATATTGTTTTATATTAGCCATTTTTTCCTCAGTTGGCTGACAGCGTTCATGCAAGATGTCTCGAAAGTGTGTAAACAATCCAGATCAGTTTTGTTACGTGTGTGGTGATGTGACTTTTGCGTCTCAGAGACAGTCTATTACTCCACTCATAACAAAGGCATATCAGCTTTATTTCGGTTGTAAACTAGGTGATCAAGACAAACAGTGGGCACCCCACATCTGCTGTAGTACATGTGCTTCAAGTCTGAGGAGCTGGTTAAATGGCAAAAAACGGTCTATGCGCTTTGCTGTCCCAATGGTTTGGAAAGAGCCTACAAATCATATTAATGATTGTTACTTTTGCATGGTACCTTGTGTTGGACAAGCCACAGGTATGCCCAAGAAAAAAAAATCGGCTATTAACTACCCAAACATACCATCTGCGATGAGACCTGTGCCTCACAGTGACGAAAATCCTATTCCAAAACCCCCAGAATCCTACACTTGCGAATCAGAAAACGAATCAGATCATGGCGATCGAGTGATTCGTCAGGAAGAAGATATGCCATCAACGTCAAGAGATCCTGATTTTATACCGAGCACGTTATGCCACCAACCGCACAAAATAACACAGTCAGAATTAAATGATCTTGTAAGAGATTTAGAACTTCCAAAATGTAAGGCAGGGTTACTTGGATCAAGACTGCAGCAGTGGAACTTGTTAGAAGACGATGTTTCGGTATGTGTTTTTCGTAAACGCCACAAAGACTTAGAACCATTTTTCAATATGGAGAATAACTTGGTTTTCTGCAGTAACATTAACGGCTTACTGGCGGCTTTAAATATAAACTATAACCCAGAAGAATGGAGATTCTTTATAGACAGTTCAACATTGAGTTTAAAGGCAGTGTTATTGCATATTGGAAATATTTTACCATCTCTTCCTGTAGGGTATGCAGTTCACATGAAAGAATCATATGACAATATGAAGTACCTATTGACATGCATAAAATACGGTGAGCACCAATGGCATATTTGTGGCGATTTGAAAGTTGTTGCACTTTTACTTGGGCTGCAGGTAGGTTACACAAAGTTTTGCTGTTTTTTGTGTGAATGGGACAGTCGGGCAAAGGCACTTCATTACACCAGACAAAACTGGCCTGTTCGTCAATTCCTAGAGCCAGGTCAAAAAAATGTTCAGCATATGCCATTAGTAGATTCGAAACAAAACTTATTACCACCACTGCATATCAAGTTGGGCCTAATGAAAAACTTTGTCAAGGCATTGGATAGAGATGGATCAGATTTTCAATACCTGCGTCAGAAATTTCCAAGACTAAGTGAGGCAAAGGTTAAAGAAGGTATTTTTGTTGGGCCACAGATTCGAAATATTTTGAAAGATACACAGTTTGAAAACACTTTAACAGGTATTGAAAAAACTGCTTGGAATGATTTCCGCCTGGTGGTCACTAATTTCTTGGGAAATAGAAAAGCTGACAACTATAAAACCCTTGTCAAAAATATGCTGTCATCGTATCAAAAGATGGGCTGTAATATGTCTCTTAAGATATATTTCCTACACTCACACCTGGACTTTTTTCCTGACAATTGCGGAGCCGTAAGTGATGAGCACGGCGAACGTTTTCATCAGGATAGTTCAACAATGGAAAAAAGGTACCAGGGAAAGTGGAATCCTTCCATGCTTCCAGACTACTGTTGGACTCTTGGTAGAGATGCTCCAGAAACGATCCATAAAAGAACAGCAAAAAGACAGCGCATATAGTGATTCTTCTACATCATTCTAAAGGGAATTGACAGACCTTTAAAATAAGGTATCACTCGACCGCCCTTTCCATTTAAGATTTTAGGGTTGGTGTCACCCCCGCTTAGGGGGCTGCACGTGTTAACGTGATTTTCTGGCAAACTTGTGTCCCCCTCGAAAACAAAATCGACGGGTCTGAGCGTTTGTCAAAAAAAAAAAACTGAGCTGCCAGTAAATGCGTCTGTTTCGTTTTCGATGCGCCACCCTGTATATTGGCCACCCTGTATTAATTATGCTTTTTTATACATCTCGCTGGAGAGTAGATATAGTATCTAAATCTCGCCTCCTGTAATTTAATTACAAATATATAGACGTTGATTATCATTATTAATTATTCATTTAGTTCGAAAAAATCCAGAATTTTAAACTCAATTTTTACAATTCACTGCCTTTTACGGCAGTACAGTCTATAGTCACAGGTTGGTCGCACCTTCCTGGCACGAAGAAAAAGCGCGAGTCCTCTTCAGCAAGAGCAACTGTTTTGCCGAGAAAAAAAAACGTCTAAGTACTTATAAACGAAGTGCATGCGAAAACTAAAATTCAGACCGCGCATTCCAGATGTGTGCTTGAGTCACGAAATTGATTATTTTGTTTCCAGCCTTGCACGCGCCGGAGTAACAGTAGGTATAAACCTTTGAAAGACAATCATAATTAGATTTCGCCGGGAAAAATAAAAGCAGAAAATGATACAACAAACAATATGCATACAAAAAGACTGACCTTTTCCTTATGTTGACATTAAGCCTTGAAAGAAAAATACCACGGCTGGTTGAAGATATGTTTCTTTCCCAGAAGGATAAAATAATACCTATAAAGGTGATACGGAAATATATATTCTATTCTATTATTGTTTTCAGAGAAAACAATTGATTTATTAATGTGATCAGTAGATACCGGATTATATGTATTTGCATATTGAGCCTTTTCACTGGTTGTTGCATATTTCAGTAAAAATATAGAGACGTTGATAGATAATAAATCAAATTTCTCACGCTTTTTCACCAGACGATGAGATTTCTAATAAAAATTATGAGACGAATTCGCGACTACATTTTATGTCTGAATACGCTTCCAATGAACGGTGTAGTAGATGATTTCGATAGTGCGGATGCTATGGCAATTTGAGAGTGCAAGGAACCATTCAACAACTCTAGTATCAAATAAGAACATAGCTATGATTAGCACTGATTTCTCTTATTTACCTGCCAGTATTAAAAAGCTTGAAACTCATGGTTTGGCGTTTGATGAAAAAAATATATCAAATTAACTCCGCATTGCCAGCATTCTCGTCTAAGTTTGAATATGAGTTTCCAAGCGTTTGAAACAATAACCCAAGCTCAGAATCTTTGTCAAATTGAGAGATTTATTAATGGGACTGGTGACGTAAAAACTAGCATAGCAACGAGATTCAAATAGTGTGCAGTCACCTCCGTGGATGTGGAGCGGTCTTTTTCGACCTATAAAAATATCTTGAGTGATCTAAAGTCTTAGCGCTGAACATTTGGAACAATACCTTAGTGTTTACAGAAATAACATATCATAGGTAAGTCATTCAAGTGCTTAATTATTAATTATTTGTAAGCCGATTTTAAAACGAAAAGTATAAAAATCATTGTTTAATCGTTATTCACTTTTGCATATTTTGATATATTCATGCAAATTTTAACCATTTTTATGCATATTTTAAACTTTTTATGTTGCATATAATCCGCTCAGTACGCTTCAACACCCCGAGTTTTGTAAGGAAACATTTTTGGACCATAATTTATAAAGCAAACCAACTTTAATTTTTTATCTAGATTCACACCGTTAAATATTCGCATATCATTAAGGAGCACCCTCTATATTGGCCACCCTATAGACATTACATTCTGTAACAATCCCCCGTCAAAGCAAACATCAGCGTGCGATGTTCATTTTTGCGCGTTCCTATTGGCCGGCTGGCCATAAATGCCTGGACATTCAGCGACAAGTATATATACTAAGTGACATATAAATCCGAACACTCAGTTTAAATGGTTTTATTTTAATAAAATTTTGTATAAGTACTTAATGAAGCATAATAAGTAAATGATAAAAATTTCAAAATGATTGCACTGCTTTAAAGCCCTTTGACCTTTAATAATGTGTGGATGCACCCTGATGTGCTACGCATTCTCCAATGCGCCTAGGCATGCTTCTGATCAGGTGGTCAATGTCCTCCTGTGGTATCTCATTCCAGGCAACCACCAACTCCTCTCGAAGTGCTTCTAGAGTCTGAGGAGGACGTTGCAAATTGAGCAATCTCCTACCCATCATATCCCACACGTGCTCAATTGGGGATAAGTCGGGAGATCTGGGTGGTCATGGTAACAATGTGACATCATTATTTTGAAAGAAGTCTATTGTGACTCTTGCAACATGTGGTCGGGCATTATCTTGTTGGAAATTCGGATCTGCCAGGGTGTCAAGATATGGTAAAAGATGGGGTTCTAGAACTTCGTGGATATAACGCTGCGCGTTCATGTTACCTCTGATGAAGATTAAAGGTGACCTGGAACCATAAGCTATAGCACCCCAAACCATAACTCCAACAGTGTGATGAACATGTCTTTCAACAAAAAACTGTGGATTCCTCTTTCACCACGTCGCCTTCTAACCCTGGCACGACCATCGTGCATGCCTAAACAAAATCGAGACTCGAGACAATACTGTTCCATTC